TTTAAAGAACGACTGTTAAATGGAAACTGTACATTTACTTTGCAAAATTTGTGGTGATTTATGCTACTGACCGCAAAAGGTAGGTGTAAAGCAACAGCCATTCACACAATTAATGACCAGAGCAATTCAAGTCCGGTGCAAACGGGGCCGCCCGGTGCGTTCTAGCCTGCGTTTTTTTTACAAAATACCTTTTGAAAGATGTAAGGCAGATTACTCAGTCCAGATTTGTTTAAGATACAGCCGATTAGAAAAATCACTGTTGAATACGAGAATCGTTCCAATTCTCTTTGTTTCAGTTTCCCAAAATTGTAACTTCAAAAATCTTTTATTTCAGCAATATGTTTCAACACGCTGGTACAGGGCACCAGAACTGCTATTCTCACTGTTTGAATATGATACAAAGTAAGCTTATAATGCTTATAATTTGACAGTAACAAAGAATATTGAAATTCATCAATTTAATAGTTTTTTTTGACTAATAATGTGATTAATACTACTGGTAGCGGAACTTAGGTTTTTTTTTTTTCGTAAAAAAAGTCAAACAAGACCGGCTATGACAAAATTTAATTTGGAATTTGATATTTTTGTATTAGCTTAGAGTACTAGCGTAAATGGAAATGAAAAATGGATGCTATTGTTATCTGAAAAATATTAAAAGTTCCATTTTGGCAACCCCTGTGATGGTGAATTTTATTGGCGATGTATCGAAACATCAAGCGCACATTTGCGTTTAAAACGTAACTTTCCCTTTCATACATCTGCAGAGTGGATATATGGTCAGCAGGCTGCATTCTGGCCGAAATGATACTGCGCCGACAGCTATTTCCTGGAAAAGACGCTGTAAGCCAAGTGAAAATGATCGTTTATTATTTGGGAACGCCGGAACAGGTAGTTAAGATGCGACATCACATGATTTCTTAACCGTCAGCCTTTTTTCGCTTCAAATTAGTGAACTAAAAGTATCGAAACAGGGAGAGCGGATGAGTAAAGGGAAAGGTTACAAATTAATGCTCCTCGGCCAAAATGTTTTTTCAATTTTTTGCAAGTTGCTGCTGGCATTTGCTACTATTTAGGTCACCTTTCGGACAAAAAAAGGCATCGTGAAGCTACTAGTAAAAAATCTAATCTCTTTTTAACCAAAATAAACTTATTAAGCTAATTTATTATTATTCTACGAATTTTATAAATAAAAAGAGGTATACATTTTCATTTAACCCGTTTTCAGGATGTTTTGAAACGAATACGGTTAGACTTGATAATTCGGTAAGACAATATTTTTCAAAATGAAAGTAATAGATTCTGAAAGAAAATCACCATATACGCTCAAAAAACTTTTTGTTCTCTGGCAAATTAGCAACACAAAAACAAGCCAAACATATTTTTCCGTATTGATTTTTCCCTGAGACTTTAAAAGTAGTCTTTAAAAGTAATAGTTCCTGAAAAAAACATTTCTAGGTGGATTGAGAGCTGTGGTCTAAGGGCACCACTAGCCTGGAGTAATATCATGCCACAAGCGAAACCTAAAGCTGTGGATTTGTTAGAAAAGGTTAGTCTTTTTTTGCTGTTTTTCTGACTGATACACTAGGAAACGTTTTTTTTCTGTAAATTTGCATTTTTTTCAGCGATATTAAGATTTCATCAAGTTAATTCAGAAAAAAATTGAAAGGAAAATTGTTCAGTATTAATCAGGCAATGTACCTTTGGTTAAAACAACTGGAAGAATAGGTGCTGCATTACTGAGGAGCCACTGCATGAGTTGCAGCAAAGGTGCTCAGCACTAAGGCGCATTAAAAATAAAGTCAGTTGCTATTTTTCCATTTTCAAAAACAAAAGTGCTGAAGTGGAGGAGAGCGCCGAAATGTTGAAAATTTAAACCTACAATCCTTCTAGGAGGCTTTTTTTTTCTTTAACATTTATCACAGTTTCAAACAGTGATAAGCATGTTAACTATTCAAAAATGAATGCATGAAGATCTAGGACAAGCAGATAATTTCCGTCTGAATTTCAGCTGATGATGATAGCTCCATGGAAAAGATTAACAGCAGAGCAGGCTTTGTGTCATCCATATCTGGATATGTATCACGATCCAAAGACTGAGCCCATCTGTTCGAAAAAGGTTGGTCGATATGTAGCAATAGCATAGCTGGCTTCCAGAAAAAAAGCACAAGTTAATGCTCCTGTTAAAAAGGCTCTTTTTTTGTGAATCTTTATAATTGTATTTTAGCAAATACTTCAGCTGACTTTTGCATTTTTGGCCAAATTTTGCTTCCCTTTAGCTAAAATTCGCTCCCATCATTTAAAATCAGCTGGAAATACGACAACATGTTTAATCGACTAACGTTCCAAGTAAGGAAACTGAAAAGCGATTTGAACTTATATGCATCAATACAGGCTTTCACTAAGTAGTGTTTTCTGCAGCAAAGCTTACCTTTCCAAACAAGGAAAACGTAAAGCATTTTGAGGTCTTGCGCATCTGCTAACAAGCAGTGAATGCCAGTGTTGCTACTGTCTGCACTGAAACTTAGTTTTAGGTATATTTTGATGCAGAAGCAATTGAACAGTTAGGTGTTGAAGAGCTGAAACAGGAACTTCTCAATGAAGTAACACGATTTGATGAAAATCACAGTGCAGAAAAGTAAGTCAGACAAAAATTTTAAATTATGAAATTTAAAAGACAAACATCGAAAACCCGCCTTTTTCATTTTCTACGG